TCATTTGGTTTTATTTAGGAATTTACATTGTCTGTTCCCTTTATAGAAAATTTTCTGTACCAAATCAATAATAATCTGCCACATCAGCTTGTTTTTCCTATTTCAAAATTAAAATGATTTTTTAAATGATGTGGCAAAGAGCTATTGGTCTGGGACAGATGATGCGAGTTCTCCATTTGGGAAATGTGCAAACGGAGAGAGTGACATTACAAATTTTGGTTATGTTTCTAGCATGGTTTTTAAAACTGACCCGGTGAACCGGTTAGGGGTCTGGTTATCGAGTCGAACGATCGGCCTGTTCTGACAAGAAAATAAAAAAAAAGTGAAATAGTCAAAACGGTTTAAACAGTTCAAACAGTTAACTGGTCGGTTCAACAGTTTGCTGACCAAAATCAATAATTTTGGAAAAAAACAAAACCAATCAGATGACCGATTCCTGATTTTTCCGGTCCAGTTCGGTTTTGAAAACCATAATTTCTAATGTCAACCTAATGTAAGGGGTGCAGATGATGTCATGGTGGCCTGAACCTAATGTTTTGCTATATGCAAAAGACAGTAAATGTTTAAGTAATTGTCATATTTCTGCATCTCAAATATCACGATTTACCATAAGATGGTGTCGCATTGGGAAGAGTAGATGGTAATACTTGGTAGGGAGCAAATACTGGGTATTTGATCTGCTATGATCTTGGTCACAGCGAAATCGTGTAACCTCTCACATTAACTATCCAATCAAAACGTAGATAACTTGATGTTTTAAAATTAAAATCAAGCTGGGTTTTCATAAAATTTGGTATTAGCATGACAGTAGTAGATATGAGCTTGGACCAACTCTATATTTTGGTGGAACTGATCTATCACTTCTGGTCTATTAACTGGTAAGGGTGGTCATTATATTTATACTCTGGCCAATATACGTATATAGCATATATACATATATGAGTTATTTTATATTATGTTATAGGAATTTATAATAAGATATATAATTTATATTGTACAAAGTATAAAATGTATTTTTATATCATATAGTATTATATATTTAAATTTATAGGCTTGGAAGCCCAACAAAGGCTTATATTTCATGCCTAGATATTAAGCTCTGTTGAGCCCAAACCAGCCTGGTCCATGATCACCCGTAAATGTGATGCTTGTATCTTCCATAACCAAATCATCCACACCAAACAATAAGTTGTTGTCTAAATGCATTAGGCTATGGAATGCCACTTCTCGCCCTTTTGTAAATTGAGATTTACTCAAGTACTTGCACACAGTAATAGACATAAAGGAGTTGAAACTAAAACTTGAACTACCCATGAAACAGGACATCCTAACTCCTTTTAGCATGATATTATCAAGTATCAACCTAACAATGTTCAATTGCAGACCAAGTTTATATGTTTATGATGATCATGAATAGGACTGTAAATGAATTGGATCTAATCTGAGTGCGTGCAAATATTCCTTTAATTAATTGGGTTGTATGGATCTGAAAACACAACCCATTTATTAATTGGATCAAATTATATCAGCTGATAGTGACCCACTGATGCACTATTATAAGCATTGTTTTGGGGTTTGATATGTTTCAGGGATAAACAGGCCTTATTCCGACCCCTGAATATGTTTGGAAAAAAATGCTCAATGATATAAACTGATACGCCCCACCTGACATATCGATTTGCATCGATATCTAGAACCTTGGGTACAAGGTATTTATCCATTTTTTTTGGTACAACCGTACAAGGTCTCTATCCACCAAAATTTTAACTATTGGTTTAGACGAATGAATCATCTGAGTAATTAGTGCAACTATGAGAGATATTTAAAATTGAGTAATTAGTGCAACTATGAGTAATTAGATACAAAGACCCACCAACAATTGAGTAATTAGTGCAACTATGAGAGATATTTAAAATTAATTCCTTTCTTTATTATTGAGGATGGATTTGGCCCTCTAGTGAAATTGTGACACCTGGCACCTCATGTAAGCCAATGCAGCCTCTTGACAATTGGGCAGCTCGGTATAGCTCGCCATAGGCAGTTCGACAAAGCTTGTCATAGCTCACCACAGGCAGTTCGGCAAAGCTTGCCATAGCTCGCCACAGGCAATTCGGCAGAGCCTACCATAGCTCGCCACAAGCAAGTCGACATAGCTCACCACAGGTAGCTCGACAGAGCTCGCCACAAGCAGGTCGACATAGCTCAGGGAGCTCGGCATAGCTCCCCCCAGGCAGCTCGCCACTTGTGGAGTAGCTCGGTATAGAAGAGCAGTTCGGCATATTGCAGGAAGATCTCTTGCCTGACAACCGTACCTAACAGATCCAGAGACCTGCACCCACGTCTCTCGCCAGGCGGCGCCATGCCTGCCAGCCCTGAGAGCTGTCCCTTGCCTGGCAGAGCCGTACTCTGCAACAACTACCTGCACCCGCCACTTTAGCCCTGGCAATAACGACTGCGGCAAAGAGACAGAGGCGGTTATGCTTGACTTGGCAGAGGCTGTTACGCCTGATTTGACAGGACACCACTATATAAGGACTCCGACCCCCAAAGACAAGGGGAGATAATGAAAAATGGAGGTAATCCCTACTCTCTAGCTCTCTCATTTCTCTCCAAGCTCCCTACAATCAGAATGCTAACTTAGGCATCGGAGAGTCCTCACCGGGAAAATACCCCCGGGTCCTCTGATTCAGTTCTCACAGGTTTTTCAGCTCCCGCCGCCTACAAAGAGGAGGAAAAGATGGAGTTCTCGCAGGTCTCTCAGCTCCCGCCGCATACAAAGGAGAGGAGATCACCTCATGCAGAGGGCAGTCGGGTTGCGCTACACCAGGGAGCTCCACCATCCTCTGAGTTGCAGGCCGCCTAAGAGCAAGTCAAATGACGAGTCCACCAAGGTAGCTCACCACCAGGGAGCTCAACATAGCTCTCCCCTAGGCAGTTCGCCATCAGGGAGCTCGGCATAGCTCTCCCCAGTTCGGCATAGCTCGGCATAGCTCTCCCCCAGGCAGTTCGCCATCAGGGAGCTCGGCCTAGCTCTCCCCCAGGCAGTTCACCACCAGGGAGCTCCACCATCCTCTCCAGGGAACAGGTCAAATGACAAGGTACTTAGCCAAAAAAATTGATACATTCAAAAAATTGGTACGTGATCAGAAACGGTTACATCAGTACGTGACCAGAACCAGTTACATCAATTATCTCCCATCTACCTATTTTTTTCTAGCTTTTTTTGCTACAATATTTTTTGTTCTAGTTATTCATTAGAGAAATTACGTAAACATACGGGAATGGGATTGGGATTTATGTATATAAACATGTTTTTCCTATTTACATTAATATACGTTTTTTTTTGGTTTTATATTTAAACTAGTATTAGGGCATTAGCTATGTACATGTGCAAGTAAAGATTAAAGGGTAAATATATAAATAATTACCTTATAGCATATGATACTTTGACTCAAGTTTTATGACCTACATTGAAACCAAGGCTTGTATTGACATTATATAATATTTTTTATATTTAAATTAGTGTTAAGGCACAAGTTACTCATGTGAGCAAGTAAAGATAAAAGGATAAACATATAAGTATTAGCCTCATACCATATGATACCTTGGCTCAACTTTTATGAACTGTACTAAAATTTGGGGATCTTATTCTTCATTTGAAACCCTAAGGTGTTTGTAATGATTCTTCGATCCTGTAAGCTATTTCTCTCACACACATACAAATTCCATTACTGTAATTTCAGAGTTCTAAACTTCGTATCCTAGAAACTAATTAAATCAACTATTCTATTAAGGGGCCGTTTGGCAAGTCCTTTTGAGAAGATCTTCTGCTAGTTCTAACAATCAAAAGATATATTGAGTTTTTACATTAAGATCTGAGCAATCTGAAGCTCATTTGGTTAAGGTGTGTATTTCCATACGTCTTTCTGTGCGAAGATGAATAGAAAAATGCAAAAGCTCCATTCCCGAAAATCGCCCGATTTAGGCTCATTGCATCTTTTTGATGCATCAGCTTTTGATGGCTAGATCTATTACAAACCAAACAGGAAAGAAATAGAATCAAAAGAAAAATAAATAGCAAGAAACCCTTATATCGCTTAAGAAAACAATAGTTCTATAAGATTTGGGCAGAGATATTCTTTCTCCTCATTTTTTTTTAACAAGGCACAACCGCATAACAAACACGCAAATGATCCTATTAATGGATATGCTTCTTACTATAATCAGAATTAGAACCAGACTATCCCTTCTGATAATATCCAACCCAAATAAAATTGATAAAGAGGAATAAAAGAAGGGGAATCAATATTGAAGTAAAAGATTAAAAAGAAATAACACGCAAATGCTCACAGAGAACAATTAATAACTATCAATTTCTAGATTATTAAATCCAAAAAAAATATATGAAAAATCTACTCAAAACCATCCATATGTGGGTTCTCAAGAAGCGGAGTCACTGCAAAACTCATCTCTCCAATAGTCTTGAATGTCTTTTTTTTAGCCGCTCTTGTTAGAGAAAAAGGTTGGCTTTTGTGGGTTAATAAAAGTATAAAACATGGGCTACCATTTCGTTGTTTTAAAATTAAGAGAAAATTTCCGATAGGTATCCTATACTTTAGGCCGAGTGCCAATTTAGTATTCATACTTTAAAATGCAACAATCTAGTATCCAACTTTCAAAATGCGACAATCTAGTACTCGCCGTTAATTAGTCGTTAAATGGCACATGAAAATACAAAAATACCCTTAAAATATAATCTAATTTTCTTTATCAACCAATCTGCTAAAATCAAAACCAAAGGCGCTTGCAATTGCAAACAAGAAGTCTATTAAGCTTTGCCCGATCGATTGTCACCGTCGTTATACCAAAAACAACAACCCAAGCTTCTTTCTCTTCTGCTTTATTGGAGTTGGATGGAAGTTATCACGTAGGTGTGTTCTCCTGCAACCGAACAATCAATAACTTGATCAAAATGTGGCCATCTTGATTCAGCCGTTGAGATGTTTGAAGCAATGCCTGTTCGTGATGTCGTCTCCTGTAACTTGGTAATAGCTAGTCATGCTCGCCATGGGTTTCCAGAGCTGGCCCTTGATCTCTTCAAAGAAATGGTTTCTCGAGGCCTTAGAGAAAGCCCGTCCACATGTTCTTCATTTTGGGTATTTGCAGTGATGTTGGGTTCTACCGAGAAGGCAAGTTCATAACAGAGTGGTTTTGCTTGGTTTCAATGCAAACTTGTTTGTTGGGTCCGCACTGATTGATCTGTACCCGCAAGCTTCATATCTTAACCCTGCTATGCAGTTGTTCGATGAATTGCCTAGTAGAAGTTTAGCAATGTGGAATTTGGTTCTTCGTGGGTTCTGTCAACTAGGTCGATCATATGAGGTGCTAGGATTCTACTTGAAGATAAAATCAGATGTTGGGGTTGATCCAAATGGTGTTACTTTCTACTATTTGATATATGCTTGTGCTCGACATAGAATGGGTAGAGAGGGCCTCAAGATGCTTGAGACCATGATCCAGGAGGGTCTGAAGCCAGATGCTATAACATTCTTGTTTGTGTTAATGAGTTGCAGTCACTCATGTTTGGTGAGAGAAGGGCAATTAATATTTGAATCAATAGAAAACATCCATGTCGTCTACCTAGACAGGAGGCACTATTCATGCATGGTTGATCTTCTGGGGCGAGCATGCTTGCTAGAGGAAGCAGAAGTGTTGCTAAAATGCTCACCAGTTAAGGATGATTTAGTAATGTGGAGCTCCCTGTTGCGTAGTTGTATAGTACATCGAAATGAGAAGGTAGGAAGAACAGCTGCAATAGCTTTACTGGAGCTCGACCTAGACAATCCTACAGTGTTGTTGCAGGCATCGAGCTTCTATTCTGAAATTGGTGATATAGAGATGTCCATGAAAATTAGAGAATACAAGAAAACGAGTGAAATGAGAAAGGGGGCAGGTTACAGCTTTATTGAGTCAATCAATCATGGTTACTCTTGACATCATGTGCAACCACTTACTCCCGGTAGGTTCACATTATTTTGCTGCAAGTATACTTATCAATCTGTATAGTCAATCACAGCCCAGAAATCATATTGATGACGTATTGTCACGAGTGACTCCTTCACCGCGCCATCAAGCACCTACCATGAGCCATCAAAGTGCCTTCAAGGTGTCAGCATATGTGTCATGGGTGGGCTATGCATGTATTTTGTAAGGAGGGACCGCCAATGGCGTTATTGTAATTATATAGTATGAATTTTCATCCTTTTCATGTTTTCTATTGTCACTCCCCCAAAAGCTTAACGTACTCTTTGAGGGGAGGTAGGTAGTCGAGTGAGCTCATAAGCGTGTAAAGGTTAAGCACGAGATCCCCTCGACACTGTACTGTGTGCTTGTGCTTACTACTGATTAATGCAATACAAGTTGCCTTTTGTCTAATTTGTGTGCCTTCTTGTTGCCTTTTGTGTGTTGTTGCTTGCATTTGTAAGCTTTCTCGACCCCATCGAGCGCCGCACGGGGCCTCGTCAACTAGCCCCGTGACAGTTGGTATCAGAGCAGGTTGCTCCGCAACGCTCGTGACCCTTGCATAGCAACACTAGTGGTGGCGCAATGAAGCACAAGGAACTCACCGACGAGATTAGGCATGGCCTTGCCCATGCGAGGGAGACTGATGAGTCTCTAGGCGATGAAGCCGCTGCAGAAAAGGCCTTGAGGGGTCGCACATCCAAGACAAGCAAGCCTGACGAGTCAATTGACACGCTTGCTGCTTTTGACACACGCATCCTTTGCTGTGAAGTGACTGTTGGGGAGATGCGTGACTAAGTAGAAGAAATCCACTTGAATGTGGAAACAATTGAGAGCTCCATGGTGGAGCTAGAAGCCCGTTTAAATGACATTATGAACGAGGTCCAAGACGTCCTGAATAGAACCCTCAAGGAAGTCCTTGGAACAAAATCCCGACAAGAAGGGAGCTCATCTCGATCCGACATCCAAGACCAGGTGGATGAGATGAGAGCTGAATGGATGGCCATGAAAGTAGCCATGGCCTCTCCTTCCGACCTCCAGACTCAATTGGATGAACTAAGAGGAGACATGACGCTCCTCAAGAGATTAGTGGCCAGCATTCCAAGCCCCTCCACAACACTGGCCCCTGCTCGGGTGAAGATTTGGGAGCCCACACCTTATGCCGGCTCCCGAGATGCTAGAGAACTTGACAACTTCTTGTGGAAAATGGAACGATATTTCCATGCCGCTGGCATTGTTGACGACCTAACGCAAATTCGTACAGTGATCATGTATTTGACTGACATTGTTATGCTATGGTGGCGCAGGCGATGCCAAGACATTGAATGGGGTACGTGCACCATCGAGACATGGGCTGATTTCAAGCGAGAGCTAAAGCGGCAATTCTACCCAGAGAACGTGGAGTACCTAACGCGGAAGAAGTTGAAAGCACTCAAGCATGGGGACTCACTCCATGATTATGTTAAAGAGTTTTCAGCCCTTACCTTGGAGATCACGGACATGTCCGACAA